ACCAGGTGAGCCAGGGCAGCACAGAGGGGACAGGAGCCAGGTGAGCCTGGGCACCAGCCTGGCAGCAGGGCAGGGGAGATGCTGGGGACAAGGAACTCTCACTGTGGTATCACTAAAGGGTTATCAGGACAGACAAAGGTGATGCAGAGACTTCATCATCTGAAGGCATGAAAAAATACTTTATTATTCACAATCCACAGTTCGTACAGAAACAATGGAGGACCTAAGATTGGCCTTTAGGAGTCTTCTCTCACCTATTGGTCAAGAAGGGACAACTCCTTGTAAACATCTTTGCCAAACAGAGATTGCCTGCCAGGTGCAAAGATTGAGATAATAATTGTTTGAATTCTTTCTCTGAGCTTTCTCACAGCTTCTCACAGGTTCCCAGGAAAACCCTGGGAGAGCTATGTGTCTCTCTGTTCAGAGGTTATGTGATACCACACTGTGGGGTTTGATTTGATCAGAATGGTCATATTTGAGGTGTTACTTAGATGGGCTGTGGCATGTTTCTATACAACAGTTTGGCAGGGCAAAAATTACAATTATTCCAAGCTTTTATAACACTGAGTGATGCTGAGGCTGAAAGAAAATATTATTTCATTTGTAGAAAGCCCCTTTATAACCCTGGAAGACTAGCCATACTAGAACTAGCTATATTAAACTAACCAGCCAACCATAAATCTTTCCATTGAAGAGCTCAGTGATTTTATCTTTCACGATGGAAATGGAATTCCTGCAAGAAAAGGGGCATTTTGGTAAGGCAGCATTCCAAACATTAATACCAGGGAAAGTGCTACTTGGAAGATTTTCAGAAAGAATACAAATTCTTTGTTAGACAGGAAGATATTAACATCAGAATAATTTTTAAATAGTGTGGACTTGTGTCAAGGGAGACTCATTTGACCTATGAGTTTTGACCTTTGCAGAAGTGCTATGATTCTTGATATTTTTATATTAGCATCAGTTTGGGCTGTGTTCATGAAACAGTATTGCTCCCATGCTAGAATTAAAGTTCTGTCATGGGGACATTTAGTTTTCATCACTAGTTTTAATTTAGATCAATGGCTTGAATTTTAATGTCTCACTACATAAAATAGAATGTGTATTTTTTTAGGTTTTACTTTACCTCAAATGTTGTAACTTGGCATGTTTTGTAGTTCCAGTGCACTGTATTGTATTCAATTTAAGTTAGGAGATCAGCATGAGAAACATATTTTACCTGTCAGAGATAACCTGAACCTCAGCAGGTTGGATTTGTATCTTTTGTGTTGTATTTTTGTATCTTTTGAAACAACATAAAATCATTCAGTGTTTTCAGGGCTTTATGTATGTCACACATGCTTAAGAATAGTTAAAATGAATGTTGAACTTGTAAAATGGTTCTTGTTTCATACATAATAAACTTTTTGCTAAAAAAAATTACAAATTGCTATGCCTCAGTCACCAATGCTAAAAAGAAAATGATGGCTTGGTGTGAACACAGCCTTTTGAATTAGCTGGGTCTTTTGGTACAGCAAATCAGAAATGATACAGGTGGAACAGGTGATACTGGAAGCTATGCCTGCTTTAGAGACTGCAAAATTTTGTTAATCTAGAGATCCATCCCTGTTTGTACGTAGTGTCTCCACTGTTATTAATGCAGATCAAATAACTTTAAAAAAATATTTGATATGTCTGGGAAAAATCCTAGGTTAAATTCTGCTTCATGTATGCACATGCAACCTCCATTGATTTACAGCATCAGAGTGTAAAACCTGACCTGTAGGCCCAGAGGCTTTTTTGTCACAGGACCCCAACCAGACAGAGCCATAGCTTCTGCTTTTCTTTCATGTGAACAAACTTGTCAGTCCCTGTCTCTTTCTCTTTCTGGGTCCAAAGAACAAAATGAATCAGAGTTGGCAGCTGTAATGAAGTACACATTAATTCTGTGTTTGGATTTGTGTTATGAAAGCAGCAGTGTGCAGATCATGGGTTTATTGTACTTAGATCACAGCATTTTGGATGTTAGCAGACCCTCTCATGAGAAAGATGTCTTAAAACAGGTAAGAGAAGAACTTAAAAATTCCACAGTATAAAAAAATGACAAATTAGGCATATCTATGTCAGGAAATTCTTAAAAGGGATCAGATCTACAGTCTACAAAGTTGGTGTTGATGTGAGTGAGATTTTGCATTTGAGGAATTTATGCAGCCCTGGCAGTGCTGTATTACAGTGATACAATTGGGCACCTTTCATCACACTGCAAAGCAGCTCTTGAAAGCAAAGCAGAGAGACAGATGAGATTTTTGTCATGTCTCTTTTTCAGCTTTGTTGTGCAGTAATATAGAAGTGGTTTTGTCTTTGTGTGGAATTGATTGATTTGTGATGGGCTGTGGGAAGTGTTTCCCTGTCAAGGCAGAGGTGTGTGTTCAGTCAGGTTTTGTTTGCAGTTTGTGGTGCTGCCTTCTGAGGCGGGCAGGCCCTGTGGGCACTCAGGGCACCAGAGGCTGAAGGAGTATGAGGGCTGAAAAATCAGGATTCATGTTGTTAAGGAGCAAGAACTATAGCTGAGCATTTTGAATTCATTAATAAACCATCTTTTCATCTAAGAGGTTATAGAAGTTCCAGTCTGCTGCCTTGTGGAGTATTCTTTGGTTGGATGTGTCATGTGTGAACCCATCAGGTTTTTTCTTGGGCTATAACTGCTGAACTCCCTGCTTTGCATTCAGTTTGTATTTTGAGTGACCAAAGCTTTGCATAATGACTGCTCAGTTATCTCTTTGAGCAAAACAAAGTGTCTCAGCTGAGTGACCTGTGGAAAACAGGTACATAATGAAATCCAACAGCTGGCTGTGACTGTCACCTCCTTAATTACTGTTCATAAAAGGGGCCTCAATACTGGCTCACCCCTGTCATCTTTTGATGGCCAAAATAGAGACTGCTGCCTGTGTGGTACCCTGAGAGGCAGAAAAAGTACTGATCACTCACATCTCTTGTTTAAGCCCTAAATTTAATGACAGAGAAAAAGTCCTTTGAATTAAAAACCTAAAATGTGTTAAGAGGGGAGCATTACCATAAACATAGTGTTTTGTATGGTACAGTGATCACTGCAATGAGAAAGCTGTTAGAGAAGAGTAGTCAAGCAAGTTATTGGCACAGTGGTGCTTATTTTTACACCACTCTTTGCCATTGTTTTCAAGCTAGGAGCACTTGGCCTTTATTTCATGAAACTTGTGCATACCATAGTTCAAATGCTTTCATTGTGCTTGTAACCAAGCACGATTTTATTAAAGACCTGTGTGCAGCTGTGCTGCCACAAGAAAGAGCACAGTGCCCTCTAGTTACAGTCCCCTGGAACAGAGAAATCTGTGTAAACTTCAGCAGCTTGTTACTGTAACATCACAAAATTGTCTCCTTTTTCTCACTGTCACAAACTAAAAAAAAAAAAAAAAGCCAAGAAAACATTTGAGGCACAGCAGAGATTTTGAAGCAGAGCTCTGTGTTTAGAGATATTTTGACAGTGACTGAACATTGCCACCCAAAAGCACATCTCATTGCTGTTGCTTTATTTTCTTTTACAGGTTAGAATTTGTATTAGCACAGCCAATAGACAAATCACCTTCTACTAATCAACTTTAGGCCCTGATGTGCTTGGAAAGGACTTAAAAGTAGCATCTGTAGCATACTTAATGAGGTAACACATCTGAGTGCACACTGAGCACTGCCTTTGCCATTCTTCACATTGTCATTCTGGCTGGATCTGCAGCCCAGGAGATGTGAGTGCAGTCTGTGTGCCACGTGTAGAGCACAGCAGCATTTCATACCTTCCCACTTTGGAGGGCTTTGGCTCGTTCTGGAGTTTCTCATCAGTCTCAGGCTTCACTGGGTTTTTCCCTTTGCCCAGCAGGGCTGAGCTGTTGTCTCAGACCCATATGAACTTGCTCTGTTTAATTATTTGGCTCTTTGTTTTTCCTGCTGATGTGAAATAATTATGAAGCAACTCCCTGCTAATGTGCTTTACACACTTTTAAGAACAAATATTGATTTGGAGCCTGGTTCCTCTGGGGATTCAGTCAGGTACTGTCACAAATCTGTGGTCAGATGCACCTTAATTGTGTGCTGGTAGTGATGTAAAGCAGATAGGATAATCCTAAGAGCATATAGATATTATATAAATAAAAATAAAATTTAAAGTAAATATTCTCTTTTTTTAGAACAGGATATTTGTAATAATGCTATAAGTAACTAGAAATTAATTATTTTGTTGTTGTAAGCACAATGACTAAGAATATCAAATATGCATAGAAATATGTTTTAATCATATATGCATGAGCCATTTGATTTGTTATATATTTTCAGGAAGGGCTGTGTTGAATGGTTTTATTTCTGTGTTAAAATCTTTTTAAGAGGGAGTTATTGTTCCTAGATGGAAAAAATGGTAGAGCATGTGACCTAAAAAGAGATTCAAGAACATTTTAATTGATCCCCTTTCTTCAGTGAAGTAGGAAGGTGATAAATAATTAGTCTTCCCTGAAGCATAATTAATAAGTTAGGCTTCTGATGAAACTTCATTTAAACAGTGTTTTGAAGCAGACTTTTATTTGTTGCATGTGTGCTTTCCCAAGTTACCTCAAGCTATAACTACCTTGCCATCAGCTTATCACTAATTAAGCCAATTTATATGTTTTTAAAGGTCAGAAATAATGGCTCACAACATTCCTCTAAGGGATGAAGCATCCAGTCCTATGAGTCACTCTTTGGATGGTCAGTTTGACATAAAATGATGAGAAGGCTGCTTAAGTAATTCTTGAATTGGGTGTTTTTTCCTCCTCCCAAAGCTAGTACTGTATTTTGAGCCTTGTTTTTGTCTGTTTCTCCTCTTGAAACCAGGTAAAAGATCAGATGGCTAAATAACACTGTATATAGGAAAAATAAGAGGCTTTTTTATTCCATTGTCATTGCTCACACTGATAAAAGACCACTTCTCTTTCTGGCAAAACTAGCTGAGCTGTCAGTGGTGCCTGTATGATCCCTGCTCTCTTTCATATGAGCAAATATAGAAAGTATTCCAGACAACAGAATGTAAAAAGTAAGATTTTTTTTTTCTGTTTAGAGCTAGAGGTGTTTTTTATAGAGAGACAGTTTCATTCTGCAGTAGAAATAATAAATACCAGAATCACAAATTTCTTGATACATTTGTTTTTCTATTGAAAAAATAGGGAAATTAGAATCTTTATGGAGAGATTTTCAAAGACAGAAATTAACCTTGATTTTGGTTTTCTTCTCCTCAGAGGTAAAGCATGCTGTGAAGATTCCTGTGCTGGTTGGGTCTGGAGTGACTCTGGAGAATGTGAGGAATTACTTGGATGCAGATGCTCTAATAATTGGTTCATATTTCAAGAAAGGAGGATATTGGGCAAATGCTGTTGATCCTGACAGAGTCAAGAAGTTCATGGAACACATGAGTAAACTGAGGGAATGAGTTTGTCAGCAAACACTGTTTGTTTGTGTGTGTTTGTAGAAATGCAGTGTGGTAAGTCCTACAGAATTAAAGCACAAATGTGTGGCCGAATGGCAAATAATACCAAATAAAAATGCACATCATCTCCATGACTAGCTGGAAGCTTGGTGACATACTGCACAATAACCTGCTGCCCTGATGTTTGCTTCTAGGCAGCACATTGCTGTGGTGCTCAAAGCCAACTCTGAAATCTTGTGTGAGATATTCTCTCCTGTAAGGTAAACGCTTACGGAGTTTAAGAATTTTTAGAAAATGTTCATCACAGGTGAGCTGAGTTCTGTTTTGCCTTTAAGTACAGTAGGATGCCCTAAGTTTACAGCTAAAAGTGTTGTAAATTGGACAAGTTAATTAGCCTTTCAGTTTCCCCATCTGTAAAATGATGATAATAGCACCTACATCACACAGGGGCCATAAGACATAATGAAGGAAAGAATGTACAGCACTTTCATCTCTCTAAATGAAGGGCTCTTTTAAAGTTCAAGATCATTATTTTTTCATTAGAATTGTGCATTTATACAATTGCTACATTTTTGTAATACCACACAAAAATTTAAGATAATTGGAGTATTGATTTACTTACAATACTTATTAGAGAATAAATGTAAATATTTAATTACATTTAAATAGATTTGGAAGGTAGTCAAAATGCTTTTGCAAAAACTGGAAATTTTAATAAAGGTTTATTATTTTTCAGCAAGCACCTGCAGCTTTGTACCTTTCTAGAATAGTCATAGTGATGTAAAAAACTTTGTTGGAATACACAAGGTATAATTACAATAGAAACCTTTCTGCCAAAGCCACAGGTAAACATAGATTTTTATTTTTCATGTAAAATGTAGAGGAAAAATATTACAGTCTCACTGTGTATGTTGTAAGAGAATCCCCTTGAATTTGATCCTTTAGCTCTAAGGAGTCTTAGAAGAACCCAAGGAATACCTGTTATGTCATGGCTGCACAAAATGTGGGCATTTATTTCCATTCCTTGGGACTGGGAGCTCAGTTTGTCCTCTGGGATCTCTCTTTTTCCTTGGCATGTACACATAAGGCTTGTGCTGATGACAAAGAAAGTGAAATTGTGGATATCAAAGCAAATACACAACCATGGGTTTTGTGGCAGCTGGCAGAGCACCCATGCTCCTCTGAACAAGATGCATCCTCCTTCCAAAGACAAGAAGATTTTCAAGATACTTGGTTTTGTTAACATAATGGCGATTTCAGAACATCACAGTATGAGACTGTCTTCTCAGGTTTCTTTTTTCTGCACTGGTCTGTTTCCCACATGACTCCCACCAAAAGCCATGACAAGTCTTTGGTATATTGCCCTGCTGGAAAAGATGTTGTTTATGCCCTGTGGCAACCATGGCTTTTTCCCTTTTTCTCCTAAATGCACTGACACAGCTTCAATGCACAGAAATCCTTTTTTGTGGCTGGCACTGCTTTGTCAGAGTTCACATTCACACAGGCACTTTAAACCTGTGTCATGGTGCTTCCCTCAAACCAACAGTTGTGTCCCAACCCCATCCCTGTGGCCTTACAGGGCTCAGGATTCTGGCTGGAACCTAACCCAGCTTGCACCAGCCACACTCAGGGGCTGGGGAAAGAAGAATTGATGTTAATCTTCTTCAGTCCTTGCATCTGCAGCTCACCAGACTCTTGGTAGACGCAGTTAAGGATCATGAAGATGCTTTTTGAATTTTTATTTCACACAGCTACAGCATCTTGGCCAGGTAAAGGAATGATCTGGTTTAGTCTTACAATTCCTAGCCTGAGTAATAAATGTTATGTCCTGTGTGTTGTGAAAAATACCATATTAAATTAAAATAAATTCACTTAGATGCTAGTAATATGAGTCTGCTTAAATCAGTACATCTGTTTCACTTTTGTGCATTTAGGACTGTTTTGTGTGTGTTTCCATACAGCATTGCACAGAAGATGCAGTGAAGGCTCTCCCAACAGGTATGCACTAATACAATTGTTAGCAGCTTTGGAAGTTATTTTCAGTAAACCTGTGAGCTTGGAAGGCTGACATACAAGCAGTGAGCACTGGTGCTCCAGTGCCACAAGGGTAAAAATCTTCAGTCAGCTGGAAACTACAACAGATATGCTGATAAGGATTGTTCAGTGGTGATAGCTGTTTTCAAAGAAACTGGTGCCTGTTGTCAAAAGTCACATTCACCACTGTGAGTATAAGAATTTTGTGTTTGCCAGTGTGTTTCTTGAATTGGTTTCTACTTACATGATAAAAACTCAGAAGTGCCTGAAGCTCAAATGGGTTTTCATCTGAATAAAAGGAGGGAGTAAATGAGAACTTCCTCAGTGCTGCATGCAAGGTCCAAAGGCAGTGATGTTATACACAGTAGTTGTTTAAGACACAAGTTGTTAAATACAGAAGTTGTTTAAGACAGAAGCCTCAATGAGCTGGTGTAATACTCATAATAATGCAGTGAATACTCTAGACAGCACTTTCACTGCCAGGATTTCATGTAACACACTGTGTGAGGAACACCAGCTCTTGTGGAAGGAACAGGTCATAATTTGGGTCTGTGTTGTTACAAGTGAAAGGTAAGTGCAGAATTTAAGGAACAGAAGTAAGGGAGAGCTGATTTTCAAGCCTGAAAATGTGACTGATCACCAGCTCTATGTCATTCTTTGTGCCAAAAGTATTTGTCTAGCAGCATTAAGCATCTGCTTGCCTGTTTCACGCAGATGCTGTAAGTAGAATTTGACCTTTTGTTCAGCAAGTGTTTGAATATTTAACGTGAAAATATTAAGTTATCAGAAAGGCTGACTTTTGGGAAGACTGTTCAATTTTTATACAGCCCAAGTTGTTAAAGTACTTTGGAGCATGAACAACTTCAGAGCAGAACAAAGCAGCCAGTGCTAATGTGTAGAAACTCCAGAAGTAAATAACAGCTGTTCAAGAAGACTTCTATTAAATATGTATTAATTAACTTGAAGTGCATCACTTAAATATGTGAAGAGATTATCTTGTGTTAATTTACATTAAAACACACAGCACTTGTTAGCCTCATTACACCACCCTAAGTATATCCTAAGCTATCACCTCATCTTACACTCCGCATTTTGTTGGGTGTTGATTGCTTTCGATTTGCCCTTTTCAAATGTCAGATAGTGGCCTCCATTTCTTGTTGGATCTCTTCTTTCTCTCAGGTTTTGCTCTTGCATAGTAGCTGTTCTTACTTGTGCCTGTTCTGTGCTGAGCAGAAAGAAAAATAACAATAGGTTGTGAAAATATAATAGTAATTGCCCGCCCAGACTTCACAGGTGGGTCCTGCTGTTAACCTATGAACCAGCAGAAAATGTAAGTGTCCATTTGTTAGGAAAATTGTTTTATTTGAAGATTCAGTATCACCTTTGGACCAAGAAAGATAAATAGTGAAATGGAGTCTTTTTTGTGAACTTATAGATTAATAAAAGGCAGTGTTAATAATAGTGGTCTAAATCAATGTGTCAGTTTTAATAAACTCTCATTCCATCATAAAACAAGTATTTAGATAGACATAAGTAAAAACCCATCTTTCTATTTTGGTGCTGAAAATATATAAACTTACAAGATTTTTTGTGCCATTTTAGCAGCAGATCCAGCTGCTGGGCTGTTCTTTGATCCATGATTTTGATTCCACAGACTCCCTGATCACAAGTTGGAGTCCAGTTCTTGTTTCTCACACCTATCCCAGCACACTGCTCACTAGGGGGAGACTGAGGAATGTGAGAACTCACAGGCAGGCCCTGGCACAGCAGGAAGGGCAAATGAAACCAAAATATTTGGCTTGAGCAGAACCTTGAAGTCCTGGGAAAGTTGCTCCATTGCATGGTTCTCCTGGGAGAAGTGAGTGGGGCTGTTTGCTCTGCTTTCAGGTTGTTTGCAGCCTCCTCAGTTAAGACTCTGAATTTGCACCTAGGCTGTGTTTCCAAGATTCTCTTTGCTGTGTTTGTACTTAGGGTGACATTTTTTCCTAAGTGAAAGCTGGTTTGCAAAGTAATTATGGCAATATGGGAAGTGCTACCTGTAGAGAAATCCAGGCTTGGAATTCATACCCCTTTGGTTCAAGAGCAGATTTAGATTCATGTACCTTCAAAAAAAAAACCTTTAAAGATGACTTAAATTAAACCTCCACTGTGCCCTGACATCCAGGCAATATTTGCTGTGCTGAGGAAGTTGAGTTTAGGAATAGAACTGGCTGTGGCTTTTTTCTTGTGCATTTACAGTGCTTGTCTCTGTGACCTAAAGGATGTATTTTTCAGAAAGATGGAGAACAGGGCTGAGATACTGTTTTTGTGGGCTGAAATGCCACGGTATGTGTAGTAGCACTGACCACCCTTGCAGTGAAGATGTTTTTCCTAATACCCAACCTAAACCTCCCCTGGTGCAGCCAAACTAAAAGGCCAGGTGGTCTCTAATGAAATCTTGAGAGTAGTAGATGCCTTTACACCCTATTCTTTAAAAACACAGAAAATTAAAGGTGGAAAAAAGTCTTTCTGCAATACCAACAGGAAAGCTTTCACATGAGGTAAAAGGGTTGCAATTCACAACATAATCTGGTTCTTTGCTTACAGTTAGAAGCTTCAGAAGTAGTAGAGCTAAGGAGAGCCTAAGATGTTTCTTGTTAAACACTTAAGGGTAGGAAAAGACGTGTGAGGGTAATTATCTTGATTAAAAAAATTGATCATCTTAAATAGGTATTTTTCAAGGTGCTAAAAAGGGATTTTGCTGATTTGGGCTGAAACTAATACTCTCTATCTATGTTTAACTCCTCTCTTTCCCGTCACTCAAATGTTTGTTGTTTCATGAAGTAAATTCAGTGTCAGCCAGCAAATGTTAGTGTTTTATAACTTCTTTTTTAAAAGGATAACTCTTCTTTAAAAATGAGTGATGAATGAATGAGGGACATTCATGAATGAGATAGAGATGCTGTTTGATGCATGGATTACTGGGTGTTTTGTATATTAAAATGCAATTTCTCCCTCTGTCCTACCACCTGTGCAAAGGGAGGTGGAATATTCAGTGTAGAGAGTAGGAGCTGCTGAATTGGTGAGTATTTAGGACCTTTATATTACTCAGTGAACAACATTAATTGTAAAAAAAAAATATGTCTAAATTTGGCAAATCTGACATGAAATCAAGTGTTCAGGATAGTAGTTGAACTCAGAATTGTTTGACTTTGTGCCTGGTCACTGTGTTAGATGTGCTATGTCACATTGCTTCAGAAAGAGGCCACAAAACGGAGATCATAGAAATCATGTTTCATACAAATGTAGGAGGAATCCTAAATTCAGCAGTAAACAAAAATGAAAAGGAAGGCTGCACAATAAGGGCAAGAAAAGATGCTTAAGTTTCCCACAGTTCCTGCCTCATTGTTTATTCCAGCTTCCTGTTTTTTCAGTCTGCTTCTCAAGCCTTTCTTGTGCATATACACAGATTATAGTACGCACAAGAATAAGCTGAAGGCAGAAACTGACTTAATGAAGACATTCTTGTGAGAGAGAAAAGATTTTGTTGTCCACAGATGCGCAAAGAAAAACAGAAAAGCAGCTGCCCTTGGAAATGGAGTAAAAGTAGAGCTGAGTGCCACGTCATGGTGCTGTACTCAAAATCTGGTGTGTTCAGAGTTTGAGAGCTTCTGTGCTGTTGTGCAGGGATGGAACCAAGAGGTGGAACACAAAGCTTTTGTAAGTCTC